CTGGTACATTCACTATAAAACAAGAATCAGCTACACAAACAGATTGTATGGGCCCCCTGTGGTTAAATACTGAGGGCGTGTTGGTTTCTCATTGATGACGACGATTGCAAAATGATAATTTAGCAGGAACAACAAAAGACGAGCTCTTTCAGACAAATAACACTCGCACATTGGATGAACATCCCGCAAAGTCTTGCCTTGAAGGTCAAAACATGGTTAACACGCTCTAATTTCGACCAATCACAGCGTTTAAGTTGTGCGTTGATCAACAGTTGATCGAAAACGTTTTCTCGTCGCTTTAATATGCAAGCTAAGCTGGTTCGGAAATTCGCGAGCACAATGATGGCAGAGCAACTGCTCAAAAAACGCAGATAAATAGTAACCAGAATGCTATATAACGTCAAAGAAGCATTCTATGTGATAATTTCAAACTCAGAGAAACCTAATTTAGGAAATGTCTACCCTCCGTCGTGCAGGACGATTTCTAAGGGGTTTCAAGTCAACAGAAAAAAAATCATTCTCCGCAAATGAAATGTTGCAATTCGCAAACTTAAAACGGAGCTTACAGTCTATCAAGTAACCTCACTGTGACAGCTAGCCCTTGAAACAACTTACCTTGGATCCAAGAGGACAATGATTGGGATCTCGAAGTACCTTTCTTGGCTCGAGAGGGACTGCGATTCTGTGACGCGAAATACTGATGAGTTGGGGACTAGTTTTATGCCAAATTACAAACGCTCTGATTGGTCGATATTAATAACTCATGTGGGATGTTGAAGAGTGGGTCACGGACCTTTCACGATACATTGTTTTTGATTCCACGCCTGTTTTGAGGTGTGTCCTTGAGTGAATAGACCCCGAAACTCAAGGAAACTCCAGCTAAAATGCAGAATACCCTGCTTCTTATTTACATGTCATTGCATAAGAATAGCCTATATCTTCGTTCTTCACAATAGAGGCTATTCTTATTCAATGACATGTAAATAAGTGGCAGGGTATTCTGCAGTTTAGCTGGAGTTTCCTTGAGTGAATAGACACCAAAACTATTACCCGAAGTTTGCATGCACGGTATTTTTCATCTATGAGTAGGGGTGTCGGAGCAACTGCAGAATACCCTGCCACTTATTTACATGTCATTGAATAAGAATAGCCTCTATTGTGAAGAACAAGAATGTATTAAACAGCTTCGAATATAATCATGTCCTTTAGTTAAAAGTTCCCTGAATCCAATATCTCAGCTGTGTGGTCATATTTAATTCACCCTTAAAGTGGCTGTCTATTGTTCCTTGTGATTTTAATTGTTTCACCCACGCAAAGCAAGGCACAAATGTTCAGTCGAATAACACCACAGGAAAAGGAAGGGCGGGGATGAAAAATTAGGGGTGCGGTGGCATCGAATGAACATAAAAGTGCCAGTTGAATTGTCATTTACGAAAAAATCCTTTTCTATTTGCTAGAATATTTGCAATTTGGTCACGTCGAAGTTTGCAATAACTTGCAAACATCGAGAGGCACTGTTGACGTTATGCAAATGATTGTTATTTGAGATGACTTGTTTGTCTAACTCAGTGCATTTCATTTTTCCTGTTTAAAATATATCTGCATAAAAATCAATGACCACTTCAATAGAATGACTGCAGTCCGTATTGCACCTGTAATGATACAGCTAGCAATATTAAGTGTCCACAGCACTTCGAATACTATATCTAACTTGAATGATGTTCTGTCGAGATCATGATGTACTTTTCTTTCGATCTAAATAACGTTACGAAATTTGTCTCACAGCACATTGACGAAGTTTAACCGCACAAGGTCAGTGGATCGAGTCAAACGTTGGGATTGGCTAATATCTATGGCGTGTTTGAGTCTGACGCAATGGTGAGACATGGTTGAGGTCACACTACTGTGGGCTATCAGACAATGGTATAAATCTACGGGTCCTCTACCAAAAAATGCTGAAATTTGATTGACCACGTTTCTCGCTATTTATTGTTCGATAGGCAAGGAGTAAAGCGAGTAACGCGCGGTTGTAAATAGCCCATTTCCGAAATCCCCTTGGCCTCATTTTCAAAACGAGTCCTGGTGCTCATCCTTTTATATGATAATAAGTTTTCATTCACATGCAAATTAAAATCATTTTCACAAGAATGGTTGAGCACCAGGCCTCGTTTTGAAAATGAGGCGAAGGGTTATTCGGAAATGGGCTATTATAAGCTGGTCTAGTTGTTAGGATTTGAAACCCCATTAGATTGATAAAATTATATATTCTCTCTCCATTTCTATGACTGATAATTCTATTCTAGACAATTTATTTGGCCGCGAAGCCCCCACCAGAGATTACGCAATAAAATATGCTCATAGCTTTTTTTGGGTCTGGTTTTCTGAGAAAAGCATAGGCCTTTGTCTATTTATTCATTTTTTTTTTCTGTGGTCACAATTTGCATTTCATTGAGCAGGAAAGCGCAAATCCGCCAATAAATGACAAAGTTTTCTGAACGAACAGACGTGGAGAGTCTTTCCATGTTGAAAGACACTCGAAACTCAAAAAAATGAGATTAATCTCAGTTAATTGGTTTCCAGCACATTGGTTCCAATTTTTGATGATTTGTTTAAATAACACTAAATCGACTTTTGCGTAATCCCACATGTTATTGTGGAAGAAGGGTCGAAATGTTTACATTCCCACACGTACACAAACTTTGCTCTCGCAGATTTGCAAGCAATGAAACTTAAATATTGAGAATGTTAGCTATCCAACAAGAGAAAACCGTGCAGGCATTTCTATCGTGCCACAGGGGTCTACACCCTGCTGGGAAACGATTGCGTACTTCAACAACGCGAAAAGACGTGACCACCGTCTGATTGCAAAACCAGTTCTAGAATAATGAGACTTTTGTTAAAGGGAACCTCCACTATTTTTACAAATATCGGCTAAAATTTTTCCAATGTACTTATTAGAAGATCTGAAATAAAAAAAAGTGTCTCACCTAGTGAAATTAATTTTTTATCGTCCTCCAAAGATAGCCCTATGGCCCGTTTAAAATCCCCGCGGCCACCATCTTGAATGGCGCGCAATGCATTACAGGCTGATGACGTATCGTGGTTGCTTCGTACAGTCAAAATGCCGCACTGTGTAGCCTTTCGTTGTAATTACCAAGCGAAAAACAGAAAAGACACGAGGATAAGTTTTCATGTTTTCCCAAAAGATAATGATTTACGCCGTGCTTGAATTCAAGCCGTGGGAAGAACGTCGCTTCCAAAATATCCCCGTCTGTGTTCGCAGCATTTCGATGCTGCCTGCTTCGAAGACACGGTGAGACTTCAGAATGAGCTGCTTGGATCGTGCCCCTGGAAGCGAAAACTTAAGCCTGAAGGTCTTCCCACAATCTTTCCCACAAACCAGCGCGGTCTGCTCGCCCTTCTAGCAGTAGACGCGCCGAGAAGAGACAACGACAAGAGGTTTGTTAGCACACCTCTCTCTCTGTTATATTTATCTTTACATTGTCACTGCAATTATAGCTTACAACTCTCTATTTTATTTAACATTTAAATGGTTACCATTGTGCCATTTTCGTCCTCCGGAGACTTCTATTTGCGATGAAGAGTCTCAAATTGATTTGATCTTTCATTTGAATATTTTAGTTTTTCAAACAAACGTAAACAACCATACTCCTTCCCAGTCCTCCCATGTTTCTGCAATTGCCTCTTGTTCTAATCCAGGTGTTTGCTTCCTCCAGTTCTGGAGGAGAAATCCTATGAATATCTAAAGGACATGCTGCAGGCAGCTCTTTATTTGGCAGCTTCAGGTGTAAAGCCTGCTCCAAGGCTCAAAGAACGATCATGCATCATGGCCGCACTAGATAGGCCAAGTCGCAAGGAGATTATTGAGAGAAGAGTACAGTTGTCTCGATCGATTTAAGTAAAATAATGGAAAGCTTTTTGCCCCTCTACTTTATATGATCATAATTACTTCCAGAATTGCAATAAATGAGGGCAAATTAATAAGCATGTACAAATCATTGCTAGAGGCATCACTGAAGGAAATGATTTACTGGGAAGTTCTTTTTGCTACAAATCCTCAACTGAGGTTTCTTTTTATTCAATCAATAGTATTATATTTGAACAGTGTGTAGGTCTTACGGAGTGGATAAGTAGTTATATGATAGTCATTATGTTGGTTCTTAATAAACCCGCGAAGTGAAGATAAGGGACAATAAGTTTGCTAAATTCGTAAAGAAAATAAGAAAATAGTATTGTGAAACAATTATAATTTCATCCTAAAAATGTGTTTCTAAGATACAAGGATTTTATTGGCCAAAATATTTTTCCCTACCTGCGTACAGATGTGAGGATGCTATAATTGCTGTTACGCGCTCTAGGTCATTTTTAAAACAAACTAAGAAAAAAAAAACAGATTTTCTCCCGGAGAGCTGTGTTGATTTTTCTTCCAAATATTGCAGCCCTAGAAGTGAAGGTGTCGATACAGGCCGCCACCGAGCATATCTCGGTTTCCATGTTGCAGAAAGCGGCTGGGAGGGGTGGTGCCATTGGGGGGAGGGGTGGTGCATCGCATGGACCTTGTGTTCCGTTCGCACTAACTCTTCCGGGTCTAGTCAGACCCGGTGAAGTCGTTAACAGGAGTATTACTACCCTCCCCCCCTTGAAAGGGATGCCAGCCCATCACAAAGTGACCCCCAGCCTTTCAACGGTTTTTCTTGAAAATTCTTCGGTATCCATATATACCCCTGGGTGCAAAATCTGAGGCACTATGAGAGTAGAATGTTTTGCCCAAAGACACATCACAACAACCGGCCAGATCTCGAACCCAGACCTCTATCGACGGGAAATCCAGCGCACAAACTATCGTTAGGTTTAATTGCAATATCAGGGAAAACTATTTTCATTTGCAACCAATCTTGCCTTCCACTTCTTCCACATTTTGTTTTGAATCCGTTGGGTTACGGAATGGTTACTAAGAACCAAGAGAATCAACCACAGCCTTTCAGCTTATCATTTGTTTTATTTTCCAGATTACGAGGCTTGAAATTCTACAATAACACAGCGAACAACCCTAACATGGGTAACTCAGTACATTCCTTCACCCGACCCAAATTATGCGAGAAAAATAAAATTTATTGCCTCAAATCTTTTTTATCTGTTCCGGTGGAAGACAGGCCCAATGTGCTTCACTTCGACTCTACAATAAGAAAAAAAAATGCCACATCACCGTGATTAACCAAAGGGTTTCATTGTTATATAATTTACTTGTCTGTTGAAATTCGACCCATAGATGCCGCTTTCTAGGTAAAGAATAACATCTTTTTGAAATTGAAAACTTTTTCGTACCGATGCTCACTTTTTTCTCTTAAAACTCTTCGTTATCTCATAAATGCCCTCTCATTTTAAATATTCTCGTTCGTTTCACAGCGAGTATGATTGTGTATTTGCCTCCACGTCACTTGCATTGTGTTTTTTTTCTCCCCAATATAAAAGCCATTTAACAAATCATTTGAAACACATTGATGAATTCAAGGTGGAAGCCGGAAAGACAAGGGTGACAAATAGGCCTCAATGAGTTGAGATTTTTTTTAAGAAAATAGAAGGAATGCTCCCCCCCCCCCGCCCCACATATAAATTGGTGAGAGAATTAAAATATTTCGATTTAAAAAAATACACAAAATGACATAGAACTTTAAAGTTCCCGGTAATGTATTTACCGTTTGAAAAATTACTGGTGCCCATGCATACCTAACAGCTGTCCCAACTTTTGCGGCAATCGCGCAGCATATGTTGTGGAGTTTTGTGGCATTCACCATGGTTTGCCCAGTATGGACATTCAAGGTAATCGTCTTCACAAGCTGACAAAAATATAAAATAAAAAAGGAAAAGAAAAGCAGTGCAAGTGCATCGCAGAATCTTATCAGATTTCATCAGCATTTCTGCTTAATGCACATTTCCTCCAATCAGGACTTCTTCATGCCAAGTCACCCGTCAACCGGACTTGTGACGAGTCAAGAAAGGGTGGGTAAGGGACTGGCACTAATGATATCAGAGATAGACCCATTGCAGATCTCTCGCAGGCTCGCGTTGCTCGACTCACGTCTCATGCTCTCCCGTGAGCGAGGTGTTATGGAGAGTGCGTTGCGTTACGGAATTGTTAAAAATAAAACTGAAGAAGTTTCCAGAACACTTAGTCATGCTGACTCATTGAGAACTTTTAATGGAACTTTCTAGAACCCTTAGTCAGCATATTTTGTTATGATGCAATAGCAATGTAATGATACTAAAAATAGTCGTTTTACAAATCTCTAGAAAATTCTAGAACATTTTGTAAAACATATATAAGGAGTCACGATCGTTTAAAGTTAGGCCTTTCTCAATGAGTTAGTGTTGTCGTGAAGAGCCCTGAGGAGCTAGTGTTATTACAGAGCCGTACTACAGAGAGTTGTCGGAGTTATTTAATGTTATTGGAGTCGTCAGCCGTGTGGAAGGCTACGTTAGAAAAAGTTTAAGTGGACATCCATACGTTACAAGGATCTCTGAAGAGAACTGTGAGTTNCGTCTGCAGGAGTTATTTTTTTCAAAATTTCGTCTCCCCGCTCCTTCCCTTGTGAATAAATTCCCAAGTAATTATTCGAGAGGAGGTGCTATATTCAACCGGACCAACGGAGTAAAACTTGTAAGAATACGCTTGAACATTTAAGGTCACCAGGAGTAATTTCCCATATCAACCTAAAAAGGTAAAAATGGCTCCTACCAACCAATTTAATCTACTCAACTTATAGATGAAAATTTCATTAGCATGGCCATGCTAACGTCACGCGAGCAGGCCATCATTATATGAACTGGATGGGCGCCGGCGGAAAGATTTGATTGAGGCAAGAGAGGGTGGGCAGGAGACTGGCACTAATAATACAGTGCTGACCCTTTGTAGAACTCTCGCAGGCTCGTGTTGCTCGACGTCCCATATTCTCCCGTGGGCGAGAAACGCAATTAAAGATGCAGTTGAACTTAGCAAGAACAAACCCATTGAGGTATGGTATACCCTATTAAATGCTTTGAAATCATCATACGAATCACCAAACTTTGATGCTGAACCGGCATATTGGCTACAATGAAAATTGACGATTATTTATAGGCGGTCGGCGGAAGGTGGCCGGCGGAAGAGAGGAGAGTGAGTAAAGACCTAATACTTTCTCCGAAGGTTAAACACGGTAATCGAAATTTCAAGGAATACTTATTGGTCCATGTAAATTGGCAGGTGAATAAAAACGTAAACATAAAAGAAAAAAAAAAGCGTTGCATGGATCTATTCTCACCCAATTTTAAAATGTTATGTTTAACTTATTTGACTTCCTGAACAATTACTCGTGCATACCTGGACAGGCATCACAGCTTTTTTGGCAAATGCGCAGCATAAATTGTGGATTGGTTTTGCATTCACCTTTCGATGCCCAGTATGAACATTGGCCATTTTTATCGTCACAAGCTGACAGAAAAAGAGGAACGCAATGTAAATATAAGTACTTTGATGAATTTTATGAGATTTCATCAGCAGTTCTATCTAAGTCACCTTTCCCGGGTTATGGACCTCTTCGTGCCTGGTCACCTTTCTGCGGTTTTTTTTTTCCAAATTTGGTCTACTTGCTCGTTCCCTTGTTAATTAATTACCATGTAATTATTTGAGAGGAAGAGCTGTCTTCAACCTGGCCAACGGAGTGAAACTTTTAAGCATCCACTTGAACAACAAAGGTAGCCGGGAGTAATTAACCCATATCAACAACAACAAAAAAAAATGGTGAAAATGTCTCCTATTAACCAATTTCCCTTGCTTAGCTAATAGATTAAATGGTATTTAGCATGGCCATGCAAAGGTAGCCTGCGATCAGGCCATGGTCATGAGCGCTGTAGGAGACACGTTTCTTCGTCGGCGGGAAGATTTGAGGCGAGCCAAGGACGGGTGGATGGGAGACTGGTACTAATAATATCAGTGATAGGCCTTTTGCAGGCCTCTCACAGGCTCGCGTTGCTCGGTGTGCCATTCTCTCCCGTTAGCAAGGAAACGTAGTTAGAGTCAATTACAGTTGAAATCAAAGAGAAATAACCCATTGAAGTATGGTATCCTCTTTTAAATGCAAAGGGTATTTTTGCTTTGAATTCTCTACACAAACTGTATAAAAAAACTGGCTACAAAGAAAACTGACGATTATGTAGAGGTTCAATAAAGTTGTTGTTGTTGTTGTTAAAAAAAAGATTGAGTGTGTTTGTGTGCGTGCGTGTGTGTGTTGTGTGTGTTATATCTGACCCAAATCATTACATTACATTACATAAATCACCTAAGTATAGCTGCCCTTTTTTTCTAGCCCTATGGTTATTTGGGGCAGCTTGTACTCCTTTATATTCTTGTCAATTTATCATTAT